CTCTACATCGGCATAACCAACAAGATCGGGATTGCAATCATTGCCATAAAATAAGCCCACATTGGTAGTCCCTTTTAGATAACACAATATGTATTTGATTTCACTCCAATGTCTCCTTGTAGGAGCAGAGCTATATCTTGCTAAGACATTAACTGAAAACGTTATGTCGCGCCTTGTAGTGTTAGCACGATACATTAGTGCATCAATTACACTAAGATATGGTACTTCAGGACCAACAAGTTCTTCATTATTTTCATGAGGTCAGAATGGATCTTTATTTATATCGAGTGATCTCACAACCATCGGGGTACTAAATGAATGTGCTTTATCTATATAAAATCGCTTTAAAATCTTTTTAGTGTATGCTGATTGATTGATAAAAATTTCATCTTTCATATACTCAATTTGTAGACCAAGACAAAAAGTCTTTCTAAGATCTTTCATTTCAAATTCTTTCTTTAAACAGTCTACTGCTTTAGGAAGTTGCATGAGAGTTGTAATGATATTTGAATCATCAACATACACAGAGATTATAACAAATTCAAATCCAGATTATTTTATAAAGATACAAGGACAAATTGAATCATTCGTGTACCCTTCTTTCAATAGGTACTCACACAGGCGATTATACTACATGCGCCCTGATTGTTTCAATCCGTATAAGGATTTTTGAAGCTTTATTTAATAAATTTCTTGGAAACATTAATATGCTTCAGAACAATTTTAATCCTTCAATGATCTCCATTATACGCATATCAAATTTTCATGTATTGCCAGATTAAAACCTGAAATGATTATATCCACCATAAGAGAACATGTTTCCATATAATCAATGTGAGGATATTTACTAATTTTCTTATATAACAAGTCGCCTTTATGTTTATCGACTTGAACTTTTTGCACAAGAACACATTTATACTTCTGTTGGCTTTATACTTTCAGGTGTTGGAACTATCCGCCTAACTTCACATTTTTTCAAGTGAACTCAATTTTCATTGCGTATTTTTCATATGGCCAATCATTTATTTGTCCAAATTTCATGACAGATTTGAGTTCAAGATCCTCGTCAATATTAATAATATTGATCGCTACATTATGTTAACAATATCGTCGACGGTCACTTTACGTCGGTTCCATTATTACCTAATAAAGACATAACTTATTGAGATCTCTTTATCTCATTATTTTCAGGTACTTGAGCCTCTCCCATGAGGTCTTATGAAGTGATATGTCGTGGTGCTCTTCTAGGGCACTTGCTTCCTTATTATGACCATTTCGAATATTTGCCCCTCTCCTTTTTCAAGGATTTTTATCTTCGGAACCGATTGGCTATTATGCTTCATGTGTGCCATAGACTCTGTCCCTCATGGACTTTATTCTATTTTGAGCATTAGCAGCTGAAATATGACATTTAACTTTGGGTCAACAAATGCATCTGACAGTAATTTGTAAATGAATTATCACTTGAACTTCAAGTTCATATTTTCTTGTACGAGTATCTATATGTATTCATAATAATTCATTTCACGTATCACTTTCTCAGCTGCCCATTTTCTCCCCCTAATGTTGGGATCACCAACACATTTCTCAACCTTTTTTAGGAACTCATCTTTGTGCATTTTGGTGGCATAATTAAATCATATAACACATCCATATTTCTATATAGAAATTATTTGGTTCCTGACCCTGAACCGATTGTGATAGGGAGAAATTTTCATAACTTGGCTAGATGCGTACAAGTGCTGCTGTATATTAAATAATACATCTCATACCAAATTTTGTTTTGGGGAGTTTTGTTCTCATAACTAATGATTTAGCTATAATTGGAGGCATACAATTTCTGCTAAACCAACTTGGATTTAAACCAGTATTATTAAGATAAATCATCATAGTTTATATTCTGGAACTGTGCTATAATAACTTGAGCAAGAAATCTTGCAAAAGCCAAACTGCAAGTTGATAACAAATGCACATGTGACCATAGAATAGATGCATCTATTAAAATCATATAATAGTAAACGGTCCACATTGCAGGTAACTGGGCCCATATATTTATCACCTTTTATTTATTCCAGAAATCAAGGGATTCAATCCCAACCTTAACTGGTATATCATGAGAATAAGCAGCATAAGATAATTCTTGAAGAATCTTCTATTCTTCAATATATGCCAATGTAATTCTCAATTAATTTTTCGCATCATAATTGAACCAAGATGGTCAACCGGTTATGCCAACTAATATTTGTTTTAGTAAATCTCTAGTTTACTTGTGGCATATGATTCCATCATCATGCTTATATTTGTGTAGTACAAATAGAAAGAAGATCGGGTAACCTTTCATATTTACCCGGTATGATTATAGAAATATGAAGATATTCAATCTTCCTTTCATTTATAGTCTCAATATGCCAATCACTTTGACTTATATATTTGAAACTCAAAAAGTTTCTTTTGAGACTTTACAATATCAATGTCATGAATAAGTTTATTCATCCGGGTAGTAACAAATTAGTTTTTCCGGAGTTCTTAACAACTTTTGTACTACAAGATCTTTTATCATACCATTCATATGGTAAATGTCTCCTTCACGGAGAAAATTATATCATAATAAATTGTCATGGTCAAAATCATCATAAGCAAAATCATTTCTTGCTTTAATTTTGCCTTTAATAACTTTTATAAGGCATGACAAAATAATATTTGGCATATCACATGTACGCGACCAATGACATATTCATGTAACCACACAATAATATTTATTCTCTTTATTTTACTCAAACCTCCCTTAGAGGTGAGTTGTGTGGTATTCATATAATCATGAATTGCATGTCTTTATTCATTGCTTTTATCACATATTGCCACATTCAATTTTAGGAGTGGATTTGCATTCTCAATGCTTATCACAAGTCACATTCTCTTCAAGGAATGGATCATAATCAGTGACGTGCTTTATTATTTCCATACCAATTTGATGGTAAACATTGCCTTCACATTTTGAAGGACTATTTTGAGAACTCTTATTGTTCTCCTTTTATAATCATAGTGATGATTATTATTATTATTTTGATCTTTGGAACGCCCACGTTCGTTGTTCAACCACTTATCTTCATTTAAACTTATTATGCACTGCTACCACATTCACTTCAAGAATGGAGCAAATCAAGTGGGACAATCATCATGCCTTTAATGAAAAATATATTATTTTTCTTTAGTCATTATATATCATCAATATGGTACAGTGGAACTCAAACCCAATGTCTTACCCATATAAAGGCATGTTAGGCCATAATGAATTGGGACTTAAACCCAACTCTTATCATCATGGAGCATCAAGACTTAAACCCGATGTCTTATCTTTATGGTGCGTTGGGACTTGAACCCATCGTCTTACCCTCATATAATATTTATCACAAATTGTCTCATTCACTTTTAGGAATGAAACATAATTTTGTATAGCCACAAATAAGTAAATAGAAATGATAAGAACTATTATCAACAAAAATATGATGGAGTACAGACTCGTGTATTAGTATCTTACATATAAACATTTCAAAACAGAAAGTCACCATGTAGCGTTGTTACTATATGATGTGTTACTGCAAATTAATGCATGATGATTACATAAAATGTACACAAGAATTGAAACACATAACTAAATATACAATTTCAGAAAACAAATAATCATGAGTAATAACTATTGCTAGCATATTCTCATGAGTAATAACTTGCTAGCATATTCTCTTTTTATACAGAAGATGTCAAAATAGACTAGTAAAATATAATGATATCACTTTGCCAACTATCAACATAAAAAAACATGTTGCATCTAATTAGATTAGTATGGATCATAATATAATTGACATTATTTTTCCTGTGCCTAAAGCAAAATATTAACGAAATACATTGCCTTTACCAAAATAGAAACCTAAGTATACAGTTTTTCACTCGCAAAATTTTTTCTTTCTCAAAGAAGCAATAGAATCACATCACGAAGCCAAACAAAATCGGAATAAACTCTCAACATAGTATTACTAACATATTAAAATCCTTGAAGTAATATGGCCATTCCTCCAACATGATCATGTGACATAACTATTATGAGTAAGAAAATCACCTTTTCCAAATTAATAGTATTTAGCTTTAACATGCTTGAAATTTAGTTTCATGGGACCTCTAGGATATAGTAGTAATTATTATCTACCTAATATACATGTCTAACTTTTGTAGTAATTATGTTATAATTTATAGAACCACTAAAAAGCTATTTAACGGATCAAATATTAGCATCTGATGGTCCTACTTTGTTTCATCCGCTCCAAACTAACATATAACTCCTTTTTCATTTTCATGGCGAGATATGGAAAGACCATACGAAATTTTGCTGCAACACTTCAACTTTTATGCCTAATTTTGTGGCTTACTTTGAAGTTGAAGAAGACCAAAACATTACTGAAAAACATAATGTGACTAAAATAGACAATATAAGCAAACTATCAACATGACATATGAAATGTCGTAGGTATGATGATATAATGAAATATTAGAGACTCGTGCTGATAACGTGTTATGAAATAAAAGTAATTTAGTAAAACACGAACAAGAAATAAAGACAATTTAGTAAAACATGAACAAGAAATAGAGATAGAGAGAAAGGAAGAGATTTTCTTCTTCAATTGTGTGTATTTTCCTATCTATTACAAGGCCTTTATATAAGCATGAAAAGTGAAGAAAATATGTCATGAAATATGTCATTGAACATAGAAAATATATCATTGAATATGTTATTAAGCATTTAACATGAAGATCATGAAGTAAGAGTAGACAACTACCATAATATGATATTTATTTCCTGAAATATAAAACTGTCCATTTGTTTTTGAATAACTTCTTTGAAAAGGACTTCTGCATCATATAAATATTTCGGTGGAAGATATAATTTTTTAGAATCGAGGTTTATTAATTTTTAAATAAGTACGTATCTCAACAAAAAATTTTTTTGACTCAAATCTCGAAAGAAAATGTTTTATACTCCATATGATAGCTTGCTCCAGTCCCGTAGGAAACTTTTGTACACTTCTATGCTTCTAGCATTCCGATGGCATCCTCAAATGATACAAGTCTGCGATAAAAATCTGCCTTGCCCTTGTTACCCGTAGCTTAAAAACAACTTTGTCCGCCTAAACAGGTACGATGGACAGCTGCAGCGTTCCCCTATTCTCAAGAAATGGTCTCACCGCCACAAATCATTGTCGCTCTTCTCCGAAATTCTCCCTTTCACGACTTCTCCAATTTATAGCACTGAATCATCGGTACGCTCTTTGCTTCTAAATTTGTTAATTCTCGTAGCCTTCAACATCATTACACGTTTGATCCCAAAATTGAAAAAGTAGATCTGCTTTATTTGCTAATAAGTTTCCCTAATTCATATTTGTCCAGTTGTGAATGTTCAAAGGTTTTCTTTCATCAAGTAAGGTAATATTTTATTATAAAAATGGCACAAAACAGGTGCAATTAAATGTGCATTACAAAAAGCAAAAGCTCAGTTCCTTTTCTGCACAATGAACTGAGAAAATCTATCAAGCTGTCTAGTTCTGATTATGTAAATTTTAAAGGCTAATAAAACAGAAAAAGGAAAGCTTTTTTTAAGGTTTTAATATATTTGCTTCTGCTAATTTTGATTTGGTGCCTTTTTGTTGGGTGGATCTTTGAAAGCAAAAACAACTCTGCTTCAATCCCAAACAGATTGGAGTTGGCTATATGATTCCTCATTTTTCCATTTAAGCTCAGTTCATTCTATCGTAACATCGTCAGTATATGTATTACAAAGATTCATCATGAACTGACAAATTTTAAGATTCTCTAATTTTGGTCTTCTTGATTGTATACGAGGTTTAGTCCCATCATATCCATAAAACTTAACTTCTACAGAAGAGGAAAGTACTGTAGAGCAGAGTTCCTTGAGAGTGAGAATCAACCAAAACTCAAAGTAAAACAAGTCTTAACCCATAGTTTGCTCTTCTCTATCAGCTCGCAAGATAAATCTGATATAGTGATAACCATCAAGTAAATGATACTGATTACAACTAAAGCATTTGTTGTATGTTGCCAGTAACGGCTTGCTTCTTTCTTATACCAGATTTGGCTATGTGTGTGATTTAATATTAATAAATAATATATGAATAATATGAGGTATCAAGGTTAGTCCTGTAGGTGTGTACATGCAATTTTAGAGGTTTTTGTGCTTTCTTTGATATGTAATGTAAACTTTTAGGAGTTTCATTGTTATAGCAAATGTACGAGTTGTAATAAACAAATAAGGAAATTAACACTCAAATAAAGGATATTGATTTTGCACAATTTGTAGTTATGTTTTCTAGCACTGCCTTAGTGCAAGCATTTATAAAATCTTTGATTACTTATCTAAAAAAAGGAAAAAAGAAAGGATATTGATTACAGCCAGTGCAACATCTCTATCATCATTTCATCAGAGATCAGCGGGCACGCTTTCTCCTTATGCACCATAACAAACTCAATATCCCCACATCCTCCAAACAAGAGTAATATCCTATAGTCAAGTTGTGGCTTCTAGCTGATATCAGATCCATATTGGCAGAAAAGGAATTTGGTCAGCATTTAGCCTTCTCTTGGCGTCCTATGAGGATAATGCAAGAGAGCTGATAGTACCAGAAGAAAGCGAACCAAGTGATAAGGAAATAGTGTGAACTTTGTAAGTTAGAATGCAATACAAAGAGTGGGAAATGTTGTGTGCAAGGATTGAACCTGTAACCAAAGGTCACTTTTGCACCCCCTTAACCGCTGGCCAACACTTCAGCAATGTCAACTACAATAGGTTTTTGCACATTTCTTGAAAACAAGTGAACCCATTTAGGGGTATTTGTCTTCTAAAATAACTTATTTATTTATTTATTTATAGGAAAAAGGACACCTCAGTAGCATGACACGGGTGTGGGTTTCATGGGGGTAATTATAATACCCTAAAAATTAGCAAAATACTTCACGAACCCATAGTGGATATTTGACTAGGCACAAGGTTTAAAAAGAATAAAAGACTTTTATGACATAAGTTAAATGTATATAGATGCCTTGTCATTTCTAGAAGAGTATTTTATTAAAGGTAAAATAGGAAAGTTAAAAGTATATAATTTCCAAAATATAGATGTGCCAATCTTCTTGGAACGGGCTAAAAAGAAAAGAGATTCATATAAAATGAAACAACAGGAGTAATACGTATCTGTGAATGAGTCCGTGTAACGTCGTCAATCCAAGTGCAAATAGCTCCCCAGCAACCACATACCAGAGACTGTGATTGATAGTTTAACAAACCCTTTCATATTTTACGTGTCAATGCCCTTGGCAAATTCGGCTGAACAAATCTCATGTCAATAAGCAAGGAATACCATGGCATTAGAATATTGTGTTTCAAATATTCCCATAGGCAAAGTAGTACGAAAAGTAACGTGTCTCTTTTTGATAAAGTGAAAAATTTTAGGCAGAGAACTGAATAATAACGTCGGATTTCAAACGCAATACTTCTGTAAATATGTACAAGCATATCCATAGTTTAAAATTGGTTATAGGGGTATATGTTATATGAAAGAGACTCTATATTTATATTGAGAATGTCCATTTGCCTAGAAAACAAATGAGGAGAAGTCTATTTTTGGTATTTAGAACTTAAATTTACGATCTTCTGGAAGAATTTCTTAATAAGTATCTACTTTCATGATTATACAAACACAACCTCTTAAGTGGTAATTTATTATCTTAAAGGCAAAACAATGATAATCTTATCATTTAAACCATTAATAGTTGTTCAATATGTCCCTCAAACATAAGCCTTGTTATTTCTATTATTTTCGCTCGTATTAGCTGATTCATTGTGCTATTTATTCCACGATGGTCGTATGAATTGGAACGTGAGACTATGCATGGTTCATCTAATTTGTGATAGGTTGTAAAATAGTGAATCCAAATCAATAATAAAAAGTGAAGTCAATATCATCTACGACAATACTAGTGAGCTGAAAACATATAAGACGAATCACACGACATTGTTGCTTAGCTAGAGCGCCGCACTTATTCATCACAGGTCTCCTATATAGTCATTAAATCTAACATTCATTTAAAGATTAAGGATCGGTGGGTACTGGATTCATTAGCTTGAACGAAAATAATATATAGGCTTCAAGAAATCATGAGCACTTGTATGCAAAGCATGTAACATCTATAAAACATATCTAGGTTATGGTTAAAGCCTAAAGCAAGCATGGATACCTGTTTACTTAATTAAAACAAAAAAAAGAAGGTAATCTTCGACAATTGGCGGGATACCTGTTTACTTAATCAAAAAATAATAATTCTGCAAGTCCAATAAAACTTGGTAATCTTCGACAATTGGTGAGAACATACACATAAATTTTATGGTTTCCAGTTTGATTCATTCTCTCTCTTCCTGTTTTCTTTTCCTTTTCCTTTTTTAGTATCCCCCCTCTGTTCTTTCCTCTTGCTTTATCACATCAGCTTCCCATTGTAGACCTTGCAAACTAAGTGATTTGTCGCCTGTAGGTAATTGAGGCAACTGGTGCTAACTACTATTCTGTTCAGTTCTACTTTTGTCGGTGCTTGTCATTTATAAAAAGGGCAGCACGGTGCACTAAGTCCCGCTATGCGCGGGGTTCGGGGAAGGACCGGACCACAAGGGTCTACCATGTGGAGTGTTACCCTGCATTTCTACAAGAGGTTGTTTCCACAGCTCGAACTCATGACCTCCTAGTCACATGGTAACAACTTTACTAGTTACGCCAAGGATCCCTTCGGTGCTTGTCATTTATATGAGCATAAATTGCACTTCACCAGTAAACATCTATCTCTACATTTTACAAGAAGTTGATGTACTTTTTTTTTGGGCAAGTAGCAACAAGAGCAGCAGTAGCAGTACAGGGGATTGGTTTAGCAGAAGAGCAGGCAGAAGGTTGTGGAAGCCTAATGTCATTAATTTTTGTTCAATTTTGTTAATTGCATTAGTAAATATCAAAATTGGCCGATTTGTCAAAAAAGTAAAGGTTATGTGGAGATCATAATAGCATGTAGACTCAAAGCCGTAACGAGGTTATATTTCGTGCACTAAAACTACTCTTCCACTACTACACTTAGACTGGCGGATTGATGCTGGTTTAGCAGGAGAGGAGGCAGAAGGTGGTGGAAGCCACTAGATTCATTAATTTTTGTTCAATGTAGTTAATTGCATTAGTAAATATCAAAATTGGCCCATGTGTCAAAACATTAAAGGTTATGTCTGATCATAATAACATTGAGATTCAAAGTTGTAATGAGGTTATATTTCAAGGACTAAAACTGCAGTTTACCCCTTCAAAGAAGCCTCCACTTAAGTGCGTTTCAGATTTGCTCCTATTTCTTATTCATAGATCGTAGATTAAGATGTTATTAGGAAAAGAAAGTTAATCATTTAATTCCTTACTGAAAATAGATCTGTAGTAGTTCTCAGATGAGGGATTCTTCTGTTACAGCCCTTAGGAGAGCTAATCAGGATATCTTTTCATTGCTAAACTCTTATGGATACCTGGGATTAGGAGAGCTAGTCAGGATATCTTTTCATTGCTAAATTCTTATGGATACCTGGGATTCGTGAGATATTTCAGATAAGATATCCTTATTCCAAGCCCTCCTTCTAGCGCTTGAAGACCCAATTTCCTTATCAAAAAAAAAAAGATATCCTTATTCCAAACACTCAACCTCATTTGTAGTGATCAGTTTTGAGGCAATCTAATGTATTGTCTTCTTGCATTATAGAGCCTAGCAGAATCAGTCTGTTGTGGTAATGGAAGACTTATCTACTTTGGAAACAAAGTAAAACTATTTCCTTTTCTCTACTAGTACTACTAGAATAGTAGTAGAACTCATTTAATTGGAAAGGGGATGATGCTTGAGAATCTTTTTCTGCAGCAAAGCAAAACTATTTCCTTTTCTCAAAGTTCGATTGCTCAAATTCACGAAGAAGGCAATTGAACTTCAAGTTTCTTATAGTGCGCAACTCATATACCCGTTTCCCAGTGATTATAATTGATTTTAAGAATGTTCTATCTTGCAGATGCTGAAGCTACAAAGTGAGTGCCCATGGTCTAGATTTTCTTTCCCAAAAATCCCTTATGCTGCTGCAGTTATTTACTGATCTGTAAGTAATCATTGCAAATTTCTATTTTTGTGGCTGATATACATATAGTAGTCTGTAATCTTTGACTTTCAAAATTGTGAAATCATTGCATTTGTTAAATTTAGATAATTACTGTCCTTATTGGCGTTAACTTAGTGAGGTTTGCTAATGCAAGTATATTTTGACCTCGTATTATCTGTATGCCCACAGCAAAAAACAAGCTGACTGCTGATGAAGCATGAGTTTCTGTTGTTGGTTTTATCATTGGATCATAGCATAAAATTGATATTTTTGGTTTGGTTTATGGGAATTGCTTTTATTTTTTCGTTTTGGTTTATGGTGACACCTCCACCACTTGTGTACTTAAGTATTAAAGAGATACACAAATGAAACTAATAATCTGCTGCCTTGTTCTATTGCAGCAAATATTGGAATTAAGAATGAAGCTTAAGAAGATTAAAGTTGAAAGCACAGGAATTTGGTAGTGGGTTTATCTCATCTTTAATGGAGAAGTTTATGACTAATCAACAAAGATTTCCAGTATTGATTAACAATGAATTTTGATTACTTTAGTGAGCCATTTTTGTTAGTGGTGCGATTCATGTCTTCAGTCTTCTTGTTCATCTGTCAACTGTTAACCTTTCAAAATAGTTTTGTGTCACCGAAATATCTCAAAGCTAAAAGGTCATGCGTTTACGGCTTTTCCCACCTCAAGTAAAATGCATTGACTAAGATTTTTGATTCTGAACATTCATGTTGATTTGGTCAATGACCAAACATACAACAACGAATGGAGGAGCAGTCAAATTGATTAAAGTTGTAAAAACAAGCATAACACCTGAGATGACCAAACAATACATAGCTTATGATAAATGAAATTGAGATGGACTGACATAAAGCAGATATTTATGCCAAAGTTGGCCTGAAATTTATAACATTTCTTTACTATTTAATATGTGGGCAAACTCATATAATTCTGGCTCTAAGAACAGCAATGACATCCTGATGCTTAAGAAAATGCACCAGCAACTCCTTCCTTTTAGGCTCCATTTTATCAGCATTATTTTCTTCATCTTCATTGTCATCTGTCCCATCAGATGATAAATAAAGTGGAGGCAGTAACTCCCCTTTATCTAGCAAAGCAAGGCTCTCTTTGTAAGTGCCAAAATAAAAAGAGTACCTAGTGCCAAGAATATTGAGGTGCAGCTTTTCTTGTGTCTCAGGATTATATGAAGTTAGCATCCCTGATATCTCTGTCAACAGTATTTCAGTATCATTATGAAAACCCAGTATCATGCCAAACCGCTGGTGGTCGAGTTGCTGGTGGTTGAGTGCAACATTATATTCCATGCTCCATGACTCAGTGTCTCCATACTGTTTCATTACCCAAATGGAACAACTGCTGCTCCAAATACGTGTATTGTACTGATACACAGCAAGTGATTCCCTACATTCCGCAGCAGTCAGATTCGTAGGTGGTTCATTAACCAAAATTTCTGGTAATGATAATTCCTGAAAAATCTCATCATTTAGATCAAACACCGTTATCAAGTTCTCCACCCTTCTTTCCTCCCCAGTTATCTTGTATGCAGTCCAGTGGACTTTCCCACAAACAACAGCTTGTGTCCAAAAGTACTCTATAACACCATTGTCTGGAATAAAACCATCAAATTCCTTCCAAATTCCTGAACTAAGTGCATATACCTCAACTTTAGGTGGCACCAATCCACCATCACCACGAGCATAGGCCATCCTCACGACCTTGTAATCTCTCGTTTTAATTGCATAGCCAAACCCACAAACAAGCATATAGTTCCCTAAGTTTTCAAGGGAAGACATTGGGAGGGTGATGGATCTGCCTATCATTGGGTTCCAAAGTACCAAAAGATTTTTAGATACAAATAAATCATCTGACAAACAGAGGACGCCATTGCATAGGCCCATGATCCTGTAATAATATCGCACTATGCCATTAAAAGGGGCTGCTATTTTGAATTCAGTTTCAATACCGGCTAATACATCAATGAGTCGAATAGAGTATATTTCCTTCCTTTGAGTTAGTGAGAAGTACCTGATGATTTTACCTGCTGGTGGTTTTTGGAGAATGTTACAGTAGGTGTGCAGCGATATGAATTCAGAGCTTGAGATTAGTGAGTTCCATGATCGCGATATGCACCTAAATCGGAGTAGAGATTTGGGTGGAAGCCTTGAGAAGATTGGAACCATCAATTCTTCAGGGATATAGTCTGACATTTTTCTTGGGGTATGAAATTGAAGATCTTGTTATTTTCTCCCTCACTTTTCTATTGTTTGAGAAGAAAGGTTGGGTGGGGGAGGGGTAGTTAAAGAGAGACTGCTCGCTGGTGAGAGCAGGTTTTTGAAGTTGATTGCTAGTGAAGAGACTTCAAAAGCAAGTTGATGGCAAGAAGACAAGAGAAAGCACTATTTATACAAGGTAAATAGAGCAAAGACAAGAATTTGTACCAGAAAAGTAGATGCTGGCTAATCCAGAGAGAGAATCTGTTTAATTACTTGCTCAAAATCTTTTCTCACATTTGGAAGGTAGGAAATGAAGAAAGCAGAAATTCTTTTGAGCTAACTTATTTGAAGCAGGGTAATAATTGCGGTTCAAACTCTTATTGAGTTTCTTAGAAGAAAAAAATAGTCCAACTAATCACTTACCGAATATCATTTATCTGTTAGTTGACCTTTGACAATCATAATAAACTAAATATATACTTTTATCACTTATGGTAATTGTTTTTTTTTATAAGTTGGTAAGTAGTTGATATAGTGATACTTGCTTACATCGGTAAGATATTACATACCAAATTTGGACTTTTAGGGAGGAAATTTATTTAGTTGTTAATAGTAGGATGATGGAATTTAAAAAAATAAAGGAAGTGAATTTGAACTGTTCTTTTTCTTTGGAGTTTTCTTTGGCCTTCTTACTTTGTAGTTAAGGAATAATTTAAGTTGTTGTAATATACATAAAAGGTCCAAATACACCCCTAATATTTGTGATTTGTTCTATATATGCTCTCCATTTACTTTCGGCTCATAGGAAACCCAATGTTATCTTTTATCTCAAATATGCCCCTCTTAGCCGCATAGGGATATCTGGACCTTTTCAATTGTTTAAGGATATATTTTGACATTTTCAATTGTTCAGGGGCATGCTTCATATTGTTGTAGAGGGTATATGTTAACCAATTAGATAGTCTTGCGATAAACTTGGATATGATGTTTGTCTACATGGGCAGTTGTCGAAGCCAAGCTGGGTAGTTGTTCGCGGGAGGGGAAAATATGAGACGAAATTAAAGGTATGGATCAAAAGGTAAATGAAGGGAAATTGAATACTTTGATTTGAACTTTCTCCCTTCATTAGCTTAGCGCGCACATATTTTTTCTCAAATATGTCCCTCTTACTAATAGGTTTCTACCACATAAAGATCGGTCAAGCCGGATAGGGGTATTTGGACCTTTTCAACTGTTTAGGGATATATTTTAATATTTTCAATTGTTCATGGGCATGCTTCATATTGTTGTAGAGGGTATATATTAACCAATTTGATAGTTTTGCGATAAACTTGGATTTGATGTTTGTCTACATGGGCAACTGTCAAAGCCAAGCCGGGTAGTTGTTAGTGAAAGGGGCAAATATGAGACGAAATTAAAAGGGGGGGGGGTATGGATCAAAAAGTAAACGAAATGTAAGACAAATTGAATACTTTAGGGGTTTATTTGAACTTTCTCCCTTCATTAGCTTAGTAAAGTTGCCCCCTCT